GTTTTGGTCTCGCTGTCTTGCGACGGTGCCGGCGGTGGCGGTCTCGGGGGCGGGGGACGTCTCCAGCGAAGCGCGTCGGATGACGATGACGACCCAGGGTCGCCGCCTCGAGAGGGTCAACGGCGGCGGCGGCGGCGGCAGCAGTTGTCGTCGTCGTTGCACTTGACGGCAGGGCCGGCGGCGGGGGCCGGGGGGGGGTCTTCGGGAGGGCGGAGGAGCGAACAGACGGAGGGGCAGCGCGCCGCCGCCGCGCGACTGAGGGCTTGGCAGGAGAGGCGGAGGAGGGAGGCTGGGACGGAGGCAGGGGGAAGAAGAAGAGAGCAGCAGCAGCTTGAACAGGCACCGCGAAGAGTCAGGAACTACAACGTCCGAGAAGACTAATCTTAGTGTGTAGTGCGGGGCGTTTTTGATTCACAGGAGGTGTAGTTGTCTTTTGCGGCTTGGAAGGTGATTAGCTGAATAAGTATGTACGTGGCGTTTTTGATTCGCCGCAGATGCAGTTGTCTCTTTGTGGCTTGGAGGGTCATTGGCTTTAGCCCCCCCCGACGATCTGTGGTTCGGAGACTATTAATAATAAACTGTTGGATTTTCCCCGCGGCATGTAGCCCATTTTACGCAGATTCCTAAAGATGCATTTTTTTGCGCTTCCGATGAGTGGAGTCGAAGTGGTGGAAGTATTTGTTAATTTGTGTTCCGAAAATCTAATATTTCGCGTCAGTAATCTGTGGAAAATTACCCCGTGTGTCAGCGATATGTTTTATGGCGCCGATGGTGCCAAGACCAAGGTGTGTGTACTGCACGCAGGATCATTTTTTCTATTGTTATTAAAACAGCCAGTATTATTCTTGTATTTCTCTTGCGTTTTTTGTTGTTTTTCGTTTCGTGGCTTCAGTATATATAACTCTTGCACGCCGACAGCCAGTCTTAAGTCTTGTTTTCTCTTGTATTTTTTTTTTTCGTTTCGTGGCTTCAGTATATAACTCTTGCACGCCGGCAGCTGCTCGTTCTCAGAGGCGGAGAGGGTCGAAGAGAAATCGTCACCGTGTGACAGTCCAAAGCCAAAAGGAGGAGTTAACGAGTCCCTACTGGTAGAGACTAGCCCGATTGTATGCATACTTCCCTTGAGCTGTAGTTCCCAGAGTTTTGCTGTTGTCTTCACGTTAAACTCGTGTCAGTTGCTAATCCCAAAATCTAGCAAAAGCTCGAGTCCGTGGTCACAAAAATGCTAGAGCCATCAGTATATATATCTAAAGAACACGCCCACTAGCAAGGAAAGGGTAGTATTCGTTTCATGTTTTTGGCACTTGGCATGCGAGGAATGCAATGAGAAGTCGATATGGGGAAATCTCTTTGTCTTTTTCGTGTTTTTTTTTGTTTGTTTTCGGTGATGTTCCCGTCTTCGGTTGTTTCTGTTTCTGTGATGGCAGCCAACAAGTATTTGCGTGCCGGGCGCGTTGAGCGAGAGTCGTGTAGGGTCATCTTCCAGCGCAAGCGATTTGTGCGGGAATTCTGGTACTCCTTTCCCTCATTCCCTGACTTAGTTGCCATTCTCTCTCGAAAGGGCATGTACCTAACGTGTGACGTTCCCACACACTTCAGGGAAGAGACACCGGAAAAAAAAATCACCCGACACACAGGCACGCAACTCCGATCCCAAACAAGCGCGGGGGACACGCAGACGTAAGGGAGGGGGGCGTCCTTCCCATTTCTCTCCACTTGGTAATTTCAAGCGGCGAGAGCGGAATGGGGGTTCAAGAACTCTGCCGGAAGGATGATGGCATGTTGGCTGTTGCTTGCAAGGAGAACAAATAGATGGACCGGGAAACAATCGCCAGATATGTAGTCACAGGTGGATAAAACGATAAAACTTTTCGTTTGTTGTTCCGTGTCTTGGGGATAAAACGATAAAAATTATCGCTGGTGTTCCGTGTCTTGTCTGCACATTGCACCTGCATCCACGCCCCGAACGCTTTTCCTCTCTGTCTCCTCCCTTAGTGAGAAACCAGTGTATCGACGATCGATTTCGATTCATCGACGATCGATTGATGGCGCGAGAGCGAAAGAACATTCCCGCAAGAGTGATGGGCAAGCTACAGCAGCAGTACGCATGATCTCGTACCACAAGGCACGAGCGTACCACACGAATGGACAGGTGACAGGACGAAGACAATCGTTTGGCACGTAACACTGGGAAAGAAACGGGTTCGATTCGGCTCAACTGCTGGGGTACGAAAAAAATAACTCTAAACGTTCCACAATGTGATTTGTTTTCTCGCTATGTATCTCGTGTCGCCTCTTGAGACAGAGAGAGAGAGAGAGATCCGCCCAGTGCTTCAAGCGAGCGACACGCCGTCATTTCTCCCCCTAAAAAAAAACACTTCGCATGTCCCGGTTCATAAAAAGACACGCCCCATTTTGATCAGAAACATACGATTAGCTTAGAGTAACCACTACCAGCCCGGCCCTCGCCCTCGCCCTCAAGCGGTCTACCTTCCACGATCGCGGGCGAAAAGGCCGAGGCGCACACGCTGCGAAGTTAGTCTTCTTCCTCACAGGAAAGCCACTTTTCTCTCGCGGGCAACAACAACACCCCCCCCCTCCCTCACTGAAGGCTGCCAAAAATACTCCAAACATGTATCAGAACGGTCGCACAGGCAGAAGGCCCGGTTAAGCTAAAGTGCTGGAACCATCCGTGAAATACACAAAATACAGCCTGCGGGGGGGGGGGCACCCCTTTTACATAACCCCCTTTGACTCCCAAGTTGAAACCCCTTCCCAAAAAAAAATATCCTACCAATGCGGAAAAACAAAACATGTTTAAATGACAGGCTCTGCCAGCCCAAACATGAAAGGGTTATAATGGTAGTTTCTAAAAAGGGGTATAACTACAAATTATAGCCAGAAACAACAGGGCGCAAAAAGACAAAAACGCGCCGATAAAACTCCTACAAAAAAAAAAAAAAAAAACTGTATGTATAGAAAAAGGGACAGGCCGGCCCCCCCCTACACCACACACTTTTGTCCGTTCCGTGCGATCAACCACAAGGCAAGAGGCAGAGGAAAAAGGGCACCCTCCGAGACTAATTTCTCCTGGAACCTCCCCCCCCTCCCCCCCTCTACCCCGTCCCGGCTCTCTACCGGGGCACCGGTTAAATTTACAACCATACACAACAATAAACAACAAAGAGGCCAACAGGGACGCGATCGATCTGCCGCCGTCTCCCCCGCGCATCAAAACGACACTGGCCCGTGGTCGGTCGCATCCTCTTCCTCCTCCCCGTCCCTCTCCTCGATCAGCGGCGGCGGAGGGCTCCGCGCATCCCCCCTGGGGGGGTGCGCCGGGCGGCGCGCGCGGCGGGGGGGCGGCGCGGGCGCCGAGAGCTGCTGCACCCAGAGCTGTGTGGCCACCGAGTGCGGGTGGTTCT